TTTTTACAATGTAATAATGATATACACATGTTTATATGATTTGGATAAAATTCTGCATTTGACAATCTTCAAAAACATGTGACCATACATATTTTATTGCATTTTTGATTGGAAATTTTTTTCTAAAAAAATGGCGGTGTAGCACAAAAAGTTCAGCGACTAAGTGACTTGCACTATACTGATAAAAAATCAAAAAGGATTACAAAGACAAAAAAAACCAAAGAAGCAGAAAACTATAGCCAAGTCTATCTTGAGTATGAAAAGTTCATGGTATGTAAACTTATTATTATGAGAATTCTCATTCAATGTTTTTTTATGTTAAATCCCTCTATAAGAAGCTTATTTAAAATAAGTTGTGATATTGACAATAACATTGAGTGAAAAGGCTCTAAATAACTTCATTTCCCTTACAATTTGCTAATATCACCTTTTTAGATTGATTACAAGTTTTATCTACCATCATTATCAAGTGCAGCAATTAATATCGATTTAATAGTAGCCTCTTATATTCTTAACAATAAAAAGTTAATAGAAAAGTGTTTTTATGATCACCCATTATTAAGTTATGTTCTAGATTTAACAAACTATCAAAACAGTTTGGCTTTATATATAAAATCTCCAGGACCAAATGACACTTTACCACTCAACTATGTTAGAAATATATTCCCTGGTGTTTCTGGTGAATCCATTATTTCAAAACTCAAAAAAGTTCTAGAATTATGTTCGAGTTTAGATGATTGCCAAAAAACTACAATTAAAGATTATTTGTTAGAATTACAAAGTTCAAAATTAGTTAAATCAATAAGTGATGAGTTTAATCCAATCATTGATTACTTGTATGATCAATTGTGAGCATTTTTTTTTGTTATTACATGTCTATTTATTATTTTATGTTTGATACTAATATAAACAATTTCAGTGACATAATATGGAAGAAAGGTCGATATAACAATCTAGTTGAACCTAACAGTTCAATTGATGAAGGACTTTGGGTTGCTGAACCTGTTCATATCATTATGACAGCAACAACGAACTATTTGGATCAGGTTTTTCCACAATGGTAAATAATATCAACTATTTTTCATAATTAATAATAAAGAATATTTTATGCCAAGCAATATGTTGAAATTTTTGTAGGTCAGCAAAAGTTTGTGATGCAACAAAATTTTCTGTGATTCATAATTTCAATTATGATGCATATATGAAAGGAATCTCACCTGATGAGCATAAAATTTCACAAAAAAAGCCAGATATATGGGCGACCATCAACATTGATGGCATTTCATATATTGTATGGTGAGGTATCTGGAATGCCATATGATCCAGATCTAAAACATATAGAAGGAGATCGCAGAAAATTGTTTCGTCTTGGTGTTTGTGGCAAAAAACTATTTCTCAAACATATTAGAGAACAATACCCACATGGGGTAAACAGATCATTAATTAGATCACTAGTGTTAGTTCCTATTCCACTCCTGTGGTTTTATAGTAAGCATTGTTTTTTATGATTAAATCATAAATAATTGTATGTATTTACAAAATAAATATAAATATTATATTTTAATATGATCTACTTTTTCAGAACACAGATTTCAATTCATGTTTTTGGATCAAATAGGAAATCTTTATCGGGCAACATCTTTCCCCCCAGTAGAGATACCAATTGAAATATCACAAAAAAGCAAATTTGAAAACTTTGCTTTAAATGTAATTAACATCTATGTGGTTTTGAAAAACATTGTTCAAGAAATACAAAATTCCATAAACAAAAAAATTATATATAATTAATTCGACGCTAGCCGTGGTTTTTTGCTTTACAAGATATTTGCGCGTATATGAGAACTTCTAAACTTAACTATAAATTTGCTATAAGTATATTTTACGATTTTTCTTCATGCAATCCAGCAAGAATTTATATAGCAAAAATAAAATCTCAAATAAAATCTCAAAAGAAAAAAAATAACTAATTATTTAATTACGTGGTGTGGGTTACACAAAGAAGCACCTATTATTTATTATTGTTGTTGACGCGATTGAATTTTTTTTTTTTTTTTTTTTGGAAAAACAATTTTGTTCGATATGGCTTGCTCTAAAGAAGACAAGGCGTTGTTTATTGATGATGAAAGGTACACACACAATTTTTTGTTGCATTGTATTTTTTTATTGTTTTTATAAATATTGTTATATATATATGTCCTTTATTTTGTATAAATATTATTGAAATCAAACTCTGGATGGAGCAGATCTTGTTGTGTCTCGGGTATTTATATTATAATAATATTAAATAATTATGTCAAGGCGATACAAGGAAGGGAAACATTTCGGATATGCAACATTTTCATAATTATAGATTTACAGACGTCAAGGCACATACGCTACTTTGAACACCTACAGTCATTCTCTCACATTCCTCATGTCTACAAGGCTAATCTGACCTCATCCCTCGATGATATGATGCAACTAAATTTCCAGGGGAGGGCAGTATGGCCCTGGAATTTATTTGAGATTGCATCAACGTCAAGGACTCTTTTGCAAATCCTACCTAATCTTTTCCTCATACTGCCTGACCAGAGAAGGCTGCTGACATTAAAGACTAGTGCCGTAAATTATGATGATGGTAGTAATTGTATTTACGGCATATAAAAAGTGGTTGCAATTACCTTTGCGACCACTTTTGCAACCATACTTTTTCCTTTTTTGGATTACGGCACTAGTCTTTAGCTGACATGCTGACCGAAGTTGACTGCAATGAACCTACCTCAGGGGTAAAGGTGTCTGGCCATGCAACAAAAAAGTTGTGGGTTGAAGAGTTGTGATTTTAGGTGTACATCAACATCTAGATTCATTGAAGCAATGAGAAATTGCTGCAACTCGTTTCAAGCTCAGGCAGGAATTTATAATACAAGATGGGATTGGGGATTCTAAAATCGAATTTGTGCTCTGATGTTAGATGAAGGTTGTAAAATAAAATGGTTCAGATTTTTTTTGGTATGTTATGTATAAATTAATCGTTCCCAAATTCCCTGTTTCTTTATTTTTATTTGACTAAGTGAATTTGTTATTAAATGGGGGTGGAGTTGTTGGTGAGTAGATGTGCCACCAACAAGACAGCAACCCAGGCCTCAAAACTTCGAATTCAGGGAAATCCAAAACAGCAACTTCCAAGTTGCTGAATTTTCAAACCAGCTACTGACATACAAAGCAATCATCACACAAGTACCAACTATCATCAGCAATCAATGATCATATGGTAGCAGTCAAGCCTGGTCTGAGGGGAAGTTAAAAAAAGTTTTGAACCTTACAAAAGCCTTCCAACATGTTTTCACCTTACCTGTGGAATAAATTCCATGGTTATGAGGAGGTGTGAAAGCACCTGTTGACATGTTTGTGATGGGAAATTTTTTATTAAATCTGACACCTGTGATTAATATCAGATTTATTATTCTATTCATAAGGAACCTTATATACAATGGGAAGGGAAATATTTTTTTTGATCCTCCCTATTTATTTATTCATTCTTGTGAACCCCAGAGATCTGGGTAGACACGCATTATTAAAAATTTCATTTATGCATGGCCTTGGTATTATTACTATCTGGATGATGCAATTGTTTGTTATGTCAATGATGATATCAAATGTATTGAATAATCATTGTGATGGATGTGAAGACAAAGGAATTCATATATGAGGAAAGTATTAAATAGCAATATCATGTTTGTTTATTTTATTTTTTATTTTAACCAAGATATATAATTAATTATATCAAAAAATACAAGATAAAAAAATTGCCAGAGTGATTGCATGGAATTCAAGGCTGAAACAATCACACCATTATATGTCCCAAGGTCAATCAAGCAATTATTTGAATCCATTGGTGCACTCACTTTTGAAATCTTGTTGAAGGGAGATAGGATTGTATGCAATTTAAATTTTTTTTATATTAATTTAGAGTTCCATCTTTCTTTGCTCTTGTAGGTTGCATTTTACAAATCAAATTATTTACCTTAATGTAATAATCATTAATTTTTAAGTTTCAAAATTGATTATTTTGAAAAATATAATTTTTCTACAATTGTAAGAGTTACTTTTCAACAAGATAAGTTATAAGTATTTTCAAACAGGTACTATTGTAAAAATACAAGTTACCTTTATTCTTAGAAGATAATCCTTTTTATCTTAAAAATATATAATAATATATAAATAATAAAAATATAAATAAACTATAATTGATCTTATTATAATCTATTCAGAAGATATTTTGAACATAATAATAAATAATAATAATTGATTGTCTCAAATAAATTAAGTGAATTTTATGTCTATAAAATATAAATCACTATATGTGATTTGTTACAGCAATAATAATATTTTCTGTTTATGATCAGCAATGTGTGGGAAAATTCATTGGTAAAGGTAGTTAATTTATTATTATTTCATTTATTGTTTGCCTTTTGCTTTTAAGATGACTTATTTTGACTTATTTTGATTATTAATGATGATAAGCCAATTTAAATCTAGGCCATAATTATTTTTCATGGGGAAGTTGACCAAATTTTCCAATTTCTCTTCACAGGTTACTGAACAATCATATTTTTTAAATCATTTACCTAAAACTATTCCATTGATTCATCTAAGTTTAATTCCATTCATATACTTTCCTTCAATTTTAAAACAATTATAAAAAACTACAAAGTGAACATAAAATTATATATATAGGGATAAGTGTATATGAAAAGTATTAACAAAGATAACAAATACAATGGTTCTAATGAATATCAAAAAGCCATTGATTTTTTAAAAAAAGGATGTAATTGTGGTTGCTCTTCAAGAACTCCTGAGGAACAATTTGCAGAATTAAGAGAATCCTTTCAAGCTCTTTCCAAGTCTGAACAAGACATATTTTTAATGGCCCAACTTAAAGCAATGGATGGTGGATTAATAAGCACTAGTAGACACCTTAAAAAGAAAACCAGATCTAATAGAAGGACTTTTTATCACTGGGACCACAATACACCTCTTTGCCAAGAAACATATTTTAATATGTTAGGAATTGGTAGGACTTACTTTGAAAATATTAGAAGTCATCTGATAAACAATGGACTTATATCAAGAATACATGGAAACATAAAAAGAATGCCTCAATGGAAAACTAAGATGGTGATTGATAAAAATGTTGCATAAATAGTAAGAATTTTCTAGAAAATTATGCAGAAGTCCATGGATTACCAAGTCCAGGAAGAAGTATCAATAGAATAACTCAATC